AAAAGCATAACTCTAGTATCACTGGCAGCTTGGTCAATGAATGCTGAATGTTTCCTTATAAGGAAACATTTAATATAAGCATTGCTACTGCACATTAGCAGAACAGATACTACACTTTGAGATCAATGGTTAGGGAATTAAATAAAGCGAAACTCGTGTAGTAATGGCTGCTCGGTCAATGAATGCCGAATGTTTCCTTATAAGGAAACGGTTAATATTATCATTACCATAAGAGATGAAAAGAAAGCATACCAGATTTTGATGTAGCCTGTAGGAAAGAACAGCATAACCCCAGTAGCAGCAGCTGCTCGGTCAATGAGGAAATGGTTAATATTACCATTACCATTACGGTTACCATTACCACTGACCCCGCTGTTCTGAAATCTATTCCCATAAGCTCGTTACGTTGGTTGATATTTCCCGCTGCCATTCTTGACATCGGTATGACGTGTGTGTGTTTAATTCTTCAAGTCCTCTTTCCCCATTATCTGTACTGGAAATATCAACGAACGCTTTCTGATGTTAAGTATAAGCGTCATTTTAATTCCCTTTTCTTTGAAACTTCCTCGCTGTTCGCATGTTCAGTCTATTGTATTCTTAACCGGCGTCTCAATAAGCGTATCGCTGCTGTTTCACGTGTCTTCTTAATCTGTGGCGAAAATCTTCCTGGATTCAGCGCCATTATAAGAGACTAGATATGCCGTGGCAGCTGGGAATCCGTTTTTATTTGGATCGGGAAAATAAAACGCGGTAGAAGGATAGAAAAAAGGAAATGACGTCAACTATTGAAAATAATGGAAGAGATTTCGAGAAAAAGATGAAAAATCAGTATCATAAGAAGAAGAACATTATTATTTTTATTATTACTATGAAGAGATAATGAACAAAAAAAAGAAAAGGTTGCTAAGGGTCAATGAACATTATGAAAATTAAAAATATAAATAAATGAAAGGAAATGGAGGGAGATTTTTTTTTGGCTTTTTGATGGAAAACGCTCGGGAAATCAACGACTTATATTTGACAAGATCTGATTTCATTGAGATGCTTTTGTTCCATCCATTTTTTTTTTTTTTTTTTTTTTGAGATATAAGACACCTCCGAGACTGCTTATATTTCAGCTTTGTCTTTCTTTTATTTTCAAGAGAGATAAAAAAAAAATTCTCCTAAAAAATTGAAGATATTGACGGGCTGAACTTAATTTAAAAATCGCAACACCCAAACAGAAGCACACACACATACATAAAAATACACACAGTACACTCATACACGCGCACACATAAAACGCATGCATACGAAAAGGTCTGATGAGTGCGTCTTGCATAAAACAGCCTGTCGCTTCTGAGTGTTGATTTCAATGTTCACTTATATATATATATATACACAAAAAAATGAACACACACACACAATACACTCATACACACGCACACATAAAACATATACACTCAGAAAATAACGAAGATAGAGATTTGAACTCGGTCCGCAATTTTCGATATCGGCACCGATAATCGTTGTGCTACCCATTGGCGGTACGTTTCTCCGGAGTTATTTCAGAAGAATAGTCAAATCGGGCTCAGATATGAATGAATGAGATAATATGATGGAGAATAATGTTTAAAAACAATAAAAATCGATGTTGCTAAACAAAGGTTCCTCTATGGCCCAATCGTTTAAGGCATTACAGACTATATGACGGTTCCGTATAGGATACAGGTTCGATTCCTGTCGGAGGACGCATATTTTCTATGAAAATTTCTCGGACATTCAGGCCGGTAAATGTTGTTAATACTGTTTATTATAAACAGAGCATTTACTTAAATATTTGTATCTATAAAAAGAAGGTATAAACATAAAAACAATGTCTTAAATAATTGTCGGAATTTGTCCATTTCATAATATATATATGAAGGAATATAGTTTTAAGGTGTGTTATATTTATAGGATAAAGTGCTCAATATCAGAGATAGAGCGTATGTAAATATAAAAGTGAACATTGAAGTCAACACTCGGAGGCGTCAGGCTGTTTCATGCTATACTCAATCGTCAGGCCTGGTATATATATATATATATATATATACAAATGAAAGAAAGAACAGAAAAATCCACTGTTCGTAGCATTTACTTTTTAAAAATGCTTAATACAATGTAGAGCAATATATTATTTTTTATATTTTTATTATATATATTAGTAGATAATGATCCACCCTCTACGGGTAATTAACTTATTTTGTTTATGCAGCTTTAATATTGTTAATTATTGCCGCCCATTTAGAATTATTAATATTATTATCATCCACATTTTTAATTTTATCTACAGGCAATTTTAAGATGATTCCTGAATATAAATTTAAAAAAAAAAGTTCTCTTAATTTTACGTCTGGTTAACTCATCCCGCCACTTTTAACACCATTTTAAAACATTGAACATTTCCTATTTGACTACAATCACGATACATTTGTCGCTGGCATATTTTCCGTCATCGTCAATGATGACTTGTCTATGTTCCGGTTTATCATGATATGAAAAATAACTCACCTACCTCCATCCTATGAGCCTTGCTTACTTTTCTATTTAGAATAGATCTGACATTTAATTGGTTAATCAAGACATACCCACAAGTCGATTTTTAATTCTGGCCATATGCCCCCCACCACACTTTAAGTTTCGGAAGAGAGGTAACACTTTTTAAAAATTTCCTTAAAGATCATTTAATCACCAGTTACTTACCATTGCCTGAAAAAGTACAATCATAGTATTGAAACATGAAATCTTTTGTGTATCAATTTCCAAATTTTTTTATTATACAGTGTAACCCGGATATAGGAGACTCGGATATAAGAGAAACCCGGATATAAGAGAGATTTTCTCTGGTCCCAAATTAGAGCCTGTGTTAATGTATATAAAATAGAGCAAACCCGGATATAAGAGAAACCCGGATATAAGAGACTTCTTCTCCGGTCCCGACAACTCTCTTATATCCGGGTTACACTGTAATCTCGTATTATAAAAATATATATATATATATATATATATATATATATATATATATATATATATATATATATAAGGATGTGTGTGTGTATGTAACGAATGCACGGCCGCAATTTTCGACGGATTTGCACCAATATTTACATGCACATGCTCCAAGTTAGTAGAAAGGCTAAGACTGATTTTGCATTTCGCAACTCTCATCGATAGTGGAAATAATCGATTTTTTCATGCTTCTATGGCAATTTTCATGTAGTTTGCGGACATTTTCTACTAGCCAGTGTGAGAGCCTATAGTTAGCTGCCACGAATAGGCAGGAAGATTCTATTGGCCAGCGTGAGAGCCAACAGCTGACTGACACGAATGTTAACTAGCATGCTAGCATGCAAAAAAAAAAAAAATAAAAAAACGATAACTGCATTCGGACAAGTGAGAAAAATTTAAATCTGCATGGCACTTTACTCCAATTAACTCATTCGCTTGCTTAAACTCAACGTTGATTCTGATTTCGCAGAACTGGGTTGGGTGTGAAAAGTATTTGTTGTTAACATTCTTTTTCATTCGGTTTTTCCAGTTACGAGTCCTTTTTAAAGCTGATCGTTTTGTGTTCATTTTGTTTAGTTCTTTTTTTTCGTAACAGATTTAATGTTTAGTATAGGGCTTAGAAAAATTTGCAGTGAGATAGGCAAGAAGTAAGGCATGTAGCAACATCAGCACGGCAAAGGGCACTCCTTTAAAGGCAAGGGAGGGCAAAAAATATTTTAAGTCAAGTGATAGCGATTGCTGTATGAGCCGTACGATTTTTGAATCAAGCACGGGCAACGCCACATATGCTGCTATATATATATATATATATATATATATATATATATATATATATATATATATATATATATATATATATATATGTATGTATGTATGTATGTATAGTTGGCCACTCGTATTCGAGGATACCCGTCTACTAGGGCGGCTATCCATTCCCTTATTCAGACGCTTGGTCAGGCGCACTTGTATTTATTCAACACCCATAGAGCCCGCCTGTGGTTTATACTGCAACTATGCTGAGCAGACCTTAGTTACAGTTTCTGGGAGAGATAGTGTTATCTAGAATGATCAACAATTTGAACAAACCCAGCACGCTCAAACCCTCTGCCCCGATGACTTGTGACTTCGTGCTAACACAGCTATGGATGCCCCCAAGGATTCCGTCAATTTCACTCACAAGGGTCAACCCGGGGTATTGGTATGGTTTTCAAGGACTCTCCAGAGGGGCGGCACGATGGGATCGACCCCTCCCAATCCGATAACATCAGGAAGGTCTCCTTTCTGACAGTCGTACGATTTTTGAATCAAGCACGGGTAACGCCGGGCCATGCTGCTAGTATATATATATATATATATATATATATATATATATATATATATAATATATATATATAGTAACCGATAGTACGGCTCGGAATTTCATGCACTATGCAGTCGTCAGGTACTGAGAACTGATCACAGTCTAGTCATTATTTCTGGGTTAACCCCGAAACATAAAAATATTAACTGGATAGTACTTTATTAAAAGGTAAAATTAATTAATTAATTAATTTAGTCCGGTTGTTTTCTGACAGATAGAGCAGTAACACTAATCAAGGAAACGGTACAATGAGACTGGGTCTTAACTGTTACTTCGAGTGTCTTGCAACGTGATCGCCAGTCGACAAGAAGCACGGAGTCATAATTTGGAACTTGTTTTTTTTGTGCCATTTCATTCGTTATTAAGCGTGTGTGTCTTTATACATGTGGGAAAAAAAAAGTATTAGCCGTCATTTTAAAATGGCTATCGAACTAATCTCTCATACTGGTGTTTGTAAGTACATTCTACAAAGGAAGCGCTCGTGGATGTCGTCTTGAAACAGCTTAAGGGAAATAAAAGATTTGTCTATGCCGGAGGTCGTCTTAGGTCGTCTGCTTTAAAAATGGATCCCGTCTCGAATCTGGTGGTTCAATTAGAAGGCATGTCAAACTTGCAAATGTTTCGTGAAAGAAGAGAAAGTCTGGTGGAAAGGCTTCAATAAACAATCGTAAAAAAAAGAATAAACAAAAGAAGAAGAGAGCCGGATGTGCGACGAGTCGAAACGTTTGCAATCAATAAATTGAATATTGGATAGTGAAAGGAAGAAGACAAAAAGGACGAAGGGAAAAAGGAGAAGGTGCTAAGAGATTAATGAGGTGGAGGAGGAGGTGGAGGAAGGGGAGAAAAATAGCAACAGCAGCAACAAGAAGAACAACAAGTAGTATGGGGAGGGGCACAGTAACATTTCAGACCACAGTAGGCGGAGGAGGAGGAGGAGGAGGAGGAAGAAAAAGAAATAGAAGGAAAAGTAGGGGGAGGAAAAGGAGGAGGAGGACTAGAAGAAGAAAAAGAAAAAGAAGGATGAGGAAGAGGAAAAGTAGGAGGAGGACTAGAAGAAAAAGAAAAAGGAGGAGGAGAAAAAGGAGGAGGAGGACTAGAAAAAGAAAAAGAAAAAGAAGCATGACATGAGGAAGAGGAAAAGGAGGAGGAGGACTAGACAGAAAAGAAAAAGGCGGCGGAGGAGGAAAAGGAAGAGGAGGACGATAAGAAGAAGAAGAAGAAGAAGAAGAAGAAGAAGAAGACATAATGAACGAAGAGAAATATTTGCGACGAAATTAATGAAGATGGAGAGATAATAAGGGGAAAAAAGATTACAAATAAAAGAATGAGAAATAAAAAAGGAAAAAAATAATGAGTATAAAGGAATGAGAAATAAGAGGAAGGAAAAAGAACAAGGATAGTGGTATGAGAAATAAAAGGCAAAAATAATACATCAATGGGGAATAAATGAAAAGGAAAAGAATAAATATGGATGAAAGAGAAATAAGAGGAACGAAAAATATGAATAAATGAATGAGAAATAAGGGAAGGAAAAAGAGAAATAAGAGAAAATAAAAACAATAGGAATATATGAATGAAAAAGAAGAAAAGAACAAAGATAAAAGAATGAGAAATAGAATGAAAAATAAATGAATGAGATATAAGAGGAAGGAAAAAGAATATGTATAATGAATGAGAGATAAACGGAAGGAAATATGAATAAATGGATGAGAAACAAGAATAAGTAAAAAGAACAAGAAAAAATGAATAAGAAATATCAGGAAGGAAAAGGGATAAGTACAATGATTGAGAAATAAGCTGAAGGTAAAATATGAATGAGAAGCAGGAAGAAAGAAAAAGAATACGAATAAATGAATGAAAAATAAAAAGAAGGAAAAAGAATAATTATAATTAATGAGAAATAAGAGGAATGAAAAAGAATAAGAATAAATGAATGAGAAGTAAGAGGAAGGAAAAAGGATAAGAATAAATGAATGAAAAATAGGAGGAATAAAAAATAATAAGAATAAATGAATGAAAAATAAGAGGAATGAAAAAAAATAAGAATAAATGAATGAGAAGTAAGAGGAAGGAAAAAGGATAAGAATAAATGAATGAAAAATAGGAGGAATAAAAAATAATAAGAATAAATGAATGAAAAATAAGAGGAATGAAAAAGAATAAGAATAAATGAATGAGAAGTAAGAGGAAGGAAAAAGGAGAAGAATAAATGAATGAAAAATAAGAGGAATGAAAAATAATAAGAATAAATGAATGAGAAGTAAGAGGAAAGAAAAAGGATAAGAATAAATGAATGAAAAATAAGAGGAATGAAAAATAATAAGAATAAATAAATGAAAAATAAGAGGAATGAAAAAGAATAAGAATAAATGAATGAGAAGTAAGAGGAAAGAAAAAGGATAAGAATAAATGAATGAAAAATAAGAGGAATGAAAAATAATAAGAATAAATAAATGAAAAATAAGAGGAATGAAAAAGAATAAGAATAAATGAATGAGAAGTAAGAGGAAAGAAAAATAATAAGAATAAATGAATGAAAAATAAGAGGAAGGAAAAATAATACGAATAAATGAATGAAAAATAAGAGGAAAGAAAAATAATACGAATAAATGAATGAAAAATAAGAGGAATGAAAAATAATACGAATAAATGAATGTTAAATGAGAAGGATAAAACAACAAGGGTAAAAGAATGAAAATAAAAGACGTAAAAATAATAAATGAATGAGAAATAACAGAAATGAAAAATAATACAAGTAAATAAATGAAAAGTAAGAGAGAAAAATGAAGAAGAATAGTGTAAGAATAATAGTTGAAAAATATTTCGAGAAAAAGAAAATGGAACCGAATGAAACAAAAATAAATATGATGGAAGTAACAATGGCGTTAAGAAATAAATATTAAAATAATAATAAAAAAAATCTCGTGCCTAAAAAGCTGATATAGACAAAGCGCGTAGCCATCAGTGTTTGTGTAGTGCCGAATTGTAGGCTGAAACCCAAGGTTTTATTCTGGCTGTACAGGACCAATTCTTGCTAACTGGAAATTATCATGCAAAGATATTGATTAATTTTGTTGACGACCACAAATGCAGATTCTGTGGTGAATATTCAGAAAAATTTAACATTCTTGAGTCAAGTTGGGCAGTATTTACACCCACCGAATATAAAACTCGGCATGGCAATGTGGGCCAATATCTGCACTGGAAAATCTACAAGTTTTAAGGGAAGGAAACCCCAAGAAACTGGTATGTATACCACGAAGACCCGGTTACAAAGATAGGACCTGTAACAAATTTCTGGGACTTTACAATGCACTCAGACAGAACAACCAATGCTAGTTGCCCAGAAAAACAGAATATGCTTTTTTTTTATGTGCTTTATTATTGATATGGCAGTTCCTGCAGGTTGTAATGTTTCTTTGAAGAGTCTAAAACTATTACAGTTACAGTCCTCGATTTGATTGGTAAAGGGGGAGGTAGACTACTTAAATGAATCCCTGGTAAATCTCATATTTTACGAAGAGATTTTATCGATGGAAATGATGTATGATCTTTGGGTATGTTTGTTTTTTTTTTGTTTTACAAAAAATGATCAATGGAAAATGTCATGAAGCCATTTCTTACCCGAGTTTTCTGGGTGGAACCTGGAAGGAAATGTGTATAGAACAGAAATAGAAGGAAATAATAATAATAATAATAATAATAACGAAATTGAAGTCTTAAAAATGTGGCATATAGGAACATCAACAATCCCTATTGTAGTTGGAGCCCTCAGATTGGTTGGAAAAGATTCCATTAGACTAATTGAAGGGATTCCTGGAAGCCCATGCCTTAAAGAAATAAAAAAAAATATTCCCACTAATATAGCCCACACATTACAAAGGGCTTTATTTATGTAAAATATGTGTGTTGTTATCTTTTTTTTAATTGCCCAGTGTAAAATGTCATGATGCCATTTCTGACCTTAGGTCTCTGGGCGTGACCCGGAAAGAAATGCATACACACCAGAAGTCAAAGGAAATAATAATAATGATAATAATAATAATAATAATCGAAATCTCAAAAATGTGGCATATGAGGATATCACCAAGCCCACGATTAATTGAAGGGATTCTTGGTAGCCCATGCATTAAAGAAATGCAAAAAATTGTACCCACAAGAAACAGCTCATACATTACGAGGGGTTTTATCTATGTAAATATATGTGATCTTAGAAATTTATTTTCGTAAAAAAAAAGCTTACTTGAAAATGTAATGATCCCAATTCTGAACTTTGGTCTCTGGTTGGGACCCGGAAAGAAATGAATATACACCAGAAATCAAAGGAAATAAAAAATAATAATAATACGGTCTGTTTCTTGATTGAACTAATTATATTTTTAGCCATTAGCGTTAATAAGCGGCTCCAGTTGAAAAGAAGGATTAACGAATCTTACTATTCGGATTTAGTCGTCTTTTGTTCTCTTGCTAAACTTAGTAAATATTTAGAAAAAAAGGCACAGAAGACGTAAGCGATAAATAAAGTAGAAGAAGAAAAAGAAAATAAGCCGAACAAAAGATAAAAAGGGGGAATAAAATGAACACAAATATTTGAGGATAAAGAAAGAATATGAAGAAGTTACATGAAGAAAACCCGAAAAAAATAGATGGCCAGAAAATAAAAAAAATTGAAAAAAAAAACACAGGAAAATAAACAAATAAAAAAGAAGGAAAAAGGAAATATTTGAAAAAAACAAAAGAAGTATCTTTAGACAAATAAATAAAAACGAATGAATAATGAAGAAACAAAGATTTAAAAAAAAAAGTCTAACTCATTAAATGGTGAGTGGTAAGTTGACAAGATCCTCTGTAAAAACGAAGGTCATATTACATGACCGCATTTCGTTTCCAGAAAGACCTGGGGGTATTAGGTAGAGGGAGGTTAAGCCAATGTTTATGTCCCGTCAGGATATTCGGATGACTGACTTCCGTAAGCAACAGAACATTTCCATGTAATCATAGATTCTGGATCTGTTCCACGTATTCAATAACCTGGTTCCGATAATTGTAATGACTTTAACAAACCTCGGCTTTTAAAAGGGCTCACCCGATTTCAAGATGTCATGACTTTCGGAAATAGGGCAACGTGGCGTTTTCTAAAACCACAAGTTGCGAACATTGAAGTCTATTTCTGGGCTCGTAACCTGTAGAGTAATTGGTCATGGTTAAGTGGAATTGGCAAAACTGTTCAACAAACAAAAGCCTGCAATAAGCAATAAGAGAATAAAGGAAAAAAAAGAACATGCTAAAATAATACTAAGTAAGCAATTTGTATGCAAGACGAAAGTAGACAAAGCAACAATAATCAAACTGTTATGTGAACCATTATGTTAGGACCAAGGAAGAACAACACGAACACAAGAAGGTATATTACACGAAATAATAATACAAGATGTGGAAGGTGTTAGTATGACTGTCAGTCTGGTTTGGAGTGAACTACTATCGGCTCGACTCGATTCGGTATCTAGCCACCCCCACGAGGGTTGCATGTGGCACAAGGCCGAGATTAACGTGGGTTTCCCGAGCCCGTAGGCTCGACCAAAAAATGCCCGTAGAACCCGTATAAACGGGATCGGGTTGGTCAACCTCCCCGAACGAGACTCTGCCCTTCGGCGGGGCCTCGTCCGGGTTCCTCTCTGCAAAGAGGCAGAGAGTTCGACCGTCAAGTCGAGAGGCTCGGCTTGATTCGACACTTGAGAGGCGTAGTATACACAGTGTTAGGAAGAGTTCATTCTGTAGTTATAGGTAAGGACCCATGACAAAAACTTAACAAATCTACAAATCAACCATTCGCCCTTGCATGGAGTATTGCTGCCATATATGGTCTGGGCCCCTTTTAATTGTCTCAATGTCCTTGATAAATTCTAAAGACGGATATGCAATGTAATTGGGCCTGATCTGGCATCTTGTCTGCATCCGCACTCACACAGTGCCATTGCCTCCCTCTGTCTTTTTTACAAATACTTTCACGGTAACTGCTTCGATTTCGCTGCTTTCGCTGGTTCCTAGACTTCGTGAATTTAAGCGCTCAACTAGGCTGGCATCTCGCTCTAACACTTTCACTGTCGAAAATGTTAAATGTAGCCATCTCTTCTACTCCAATAGCTTCATGTCTCGCACCTCTCGCCTGTGGAACTTGCTCCCCATTTCTTGTTTTCCTGATAGCTATAATCTCCAACTATTCAAATGTAACGTCAATCGACGT